TTGCCACCTGTGCATTTTTAGTCCATTCGGGAGAAATTGTCTTTGCTACTAAATATTCCCACGGTCAACTACTAGTGGTATATATAACAAAATGGAAGCAGCTGGAAACAACAGCAACTCAGCCCACCCAAGTGGTAGGCCACATAAAATTACAAAGTGGTATCAGAGCATGCTGAAGCGCAGAGTGCTCAGAAGTCGCCAACTGTCTGCAGAGCCAATAGCTAAAGACACCATCCAAACTTCATGTGGCCATTAGATGAGCACAGCAACAGCTTCATGGAATGGGTTTCCATGACCGAGCAGCTGTATCCAAGCCTTTCATCATCACCAAGTGCAATGCAAAAGCATTGAATGTAGTGGTGGTAAAGCAGCACGCCGCCACTGGACTCAAGAGCAGTGGAGACGTGTTTCTCTGGAGTGATGAATCACACTATCTCTTGTCTGGCAATTCTGACGGAGGTGTCTGGGTTTGGCAGTTGCCAGGAGAATGGTGTACTTTGCCAAGTGTAAGGCTTGTGGAGGGTGGATTAATGGTGTGGGGTTGTTTTTCAGGAGTTGGACCAATCAAGTTCCTCCAATTTTTTTTAATTTTTTTTTTTAATGGTTTGAACTGGATGGACTTTTGTCTTTTTTTCAGCCAGACTAACTAAGTAACTGGTAATAAATGAAATTAAATGAAACAATTTTAACTAACAAAGACACTGCCAAAAGATTATGTGAATATGCTGGACAACGTACAGTAGAAAAGGTGTTTGCCTATAAATTGTAATGAGCGCCATTTGTCTTATAGTTGAGACGGTCATAAAAGTGCACCAGAAATAAGGCAGCAAACATCATAAAAAGTCATAAAAAGGAGAATTCAGTTCCTCACAGAATTCAGAAAGAGGGTGACAAGCTACTTGTTCTGGGTGAGTACAGCCAATTCTTACATCTCATGGTACAGATGATATATAAGGGGAGATTTACTTAAACTGGAATGCTCAGAATCTGGTGCAGCTGTGCCTGGTAGCCAATCAGCTTCTCACTTAATCTTGTTCAAATTACGCTTTGCCATTAAAAACCTGGAAGAATGTAGAGCTGCACCAGATTTTTTGCACTCTCCAGTTTTTGTTTAATTCCCATGGGTACCGTAACATCGTTTATTCACAACAATACTAAGTACAGTACTATGCAGGTAATGGGGCAATTTCCTAAGCTGAACCAACACCCACGCATGCATTCTTCTGTAGTGTACGCCATATTCTGTCAGTTGGAAACAATCACCCCAGTTTGACTTTCTACTTCTATAGCTAACTTCAGTGAACTTGCTTGGTGATTTTCTTCAACACTTCTCATCAGAAGACGCTCCTGACAAGGTGTTAACTTCCATGGACAGCCTGGACCCATCTCTGTGAGATGGTTGCAAGTTCCATCTTTGTTAAAATTTTGTATCACTTTTGCTACAGTATTCTGACTGATAAGTAAAGCTTTGCTGATCTTACTGCCCTTTACCTTTCTTGTGTAAAGAAATTATTTTTATTGAGGCCTTGTGACATTTTGCTTCCATGTAGGTGCCGATTGCTGACCTGAGCATGAAATTGGAAGGGTTTTCTTTAAGTAACGCCCCTTTAATAACCAACTGTCTGCTGGACACCTGTTTAATGAATAATTAGACTCCTCACCTGTAGTTGAAATTCTTGTTAATTAGGATTTGATTGTCTAAAATTTAGCTTCTGCTCCTAAGAATTTCATTAGCGTGGTATTCAATTTTGCAACATGGTCTTGAATGAATTTGTTTTAGTGGCTGTGCGCAACCTATTGCATTAGGGTGTGGCACACCAAAGGTTAAACCCATATATAAATATATATAATATATATATAATACCTACTTCACACACATACATACATACATACAGACAGACACACACACACACCCTTCCTTGTGGCACTCTGCCCCACTGGCACATTGTCTTCCTGCCTCTGCAGATTCAGAGAGAGAGAAATGCTTCCACACTCCTCTTTACAAGGAGAGCCATACAGTGGGAGAACTTTCCCAAACTTCCCACCGCCACACAGAGCAATAATGCTAAATATGAACAGGGTGATTAAGCACACAGCCCGGCACCTCCCACACCTGTGCACATGCCCATGTACAGATACTTGTGGTTCCCTGAAATTGGGTTGTAAGTCCTCTCTTATATACGCAATGATGTTGACTGTAGCTAGCAGTACATGGATGGGGTTTCACACATGGTTAAATTTTAGGTCCCCCCCTATTCAAGTCAAGGAGGAGGATGGGTAATGCAAGAAGGTTTGGGCAGTCTGTATTGGTAACAGGATCTGCCTTTACCTGTTTGTGAGATCAAGCATAGAATTAAAACTTGCACTATGGCAGTGGTCTCCAAACTGCTTTCCGGGGGATGAATATGGCCCTTTGCTTGCCCTTATCTAGACTTGGGGCACTATTACACCAACTGTCAACCAATTATGGGACAGTATTCCACCAACTCTCACACTAATGATGCGACACATCAGTGGGGCATCATTCATCTCACTGATACCACACAATGGGGCACTATTCCTCCCTTTAAAACCAATGAAAGAAGCACTGATACTGGGGCATTTTTCTACTCCCACTGGCCACAGTCTGGACCCCATAAAGGCTTAAGGACAGTAAAACTGGTCCTTTTGCTTGAAAATTTGAAGACCCCTGCCCTAGGGTGATGACCCTAAACAATACCCGATTTTTCTCAGATGTTTGTTAAGCTAATTTCCTTTAGGTGTGGAACCAAAGTGGGTAAGTGAAACAAAAGGTGTTGTAGCATCTATTACAACAAATACAGTTACCTGCAGTTCCCGGTAAATGAGATCATAACAATTCTCTTGCTAGGAGGCTGGCCATATTCCAAAGAACAGAGGTAATACACAGCTCAAGCAAACAAATCCAGAAATCAATCCACGACAGGTGCAGGCTCTGGCTCGCCACCACACATGATGCAACAGGAAGAAGGGTCAGCTGCCCACCGTAAAAATCTCCTGCCGGCGTAAAATGGAAATTTTCAACTAATACCTATATAAGAGACAGCAACTTTTGTTGTTTTCTTTGTTATTATTAAGCACGAGATCGTGTGTGTAAACGCATTAACAGGTCCTTTATTCATGACTTTGGGTTTTTGTGTGTCCGATGGATCAATAAATATACACTATAACTATATTCATCAATCCTCCATAGTGCGGCCTGACCCTTCTTCCTGTAGGATGCTGGCCCATGAGCTGTTTAGTAGTGGGTTGTGGGATTTGCCAGGCAGGCACCGTAAGGCAGTATTCCCACAACCAGCTGGCACAGTGTCATCTGTCTTACATGTACCCAGTGTCCCATGCGCTGGATACCACTCTGAAACTACCCAGCGCCTGGTGACAGTTCATTTGTCCCAGTCATTGCCGTCCCATCAGGTGTGGCCACTTTGGGGCACCAGAAAGACAGGAAAAGCTAGAAATTATAGCGAATGCATATGACCAGGAAGTCCAGGGATGACAGAAACCCCAGGGGATTGTGCATATTGGAGTTGAAGGGGCCTGCACCCACCGCTAAAGGCAAGCGAGAGTAAAGGGAACTTCTTCCAAATATATGGATTGGCAATAAATGTTATTTTATAATTTTTCAGAAACATGCAGATTCATTAGAAAAGACAATAATTAACTGTCTTGTTTTTTTTACAGTAATTATAGGATCTGTCACTGCCAGACTGCTTCATCTAGCTTTAAAAAAACCCTCATTCTGCAAGGTAAGCAGGTCACAAAATAGATTCAATAAAAAAAGCCAATTCAATGGGCTTGATCAGGAATTTTTTTTGTATTATTCATACAGACAGGCCCTATTTGGAAGTGCGTTTTGCACAATGTGATTTTTTGTTTTTGCACTGACTAATAGTGGCTGAAAATTTGGCATAGATTCATAATCTGCTTCGAAAACTGATGTACATGGTAAGTGAACTAGTAAAGGGTCTTTGGGTCCCTTTGTGAGGTCACACAGGGGGAGATTTACTAAAAGTAACATCTGGTGCAACTCTGCATAGAACCCAATTAGCTTCCAGGTTTTTATTGCCAAAGCTTAATTGAAGAAGCTGGAGTTAGAAGCTGACTGGCTACCATGTACAGCTGCACCAGGTTTTGAGTGCTCCCAGTTTTAATAAATCTACCCTATAGGGTCTAAGATCATAGTAATGTTGTTGCCACCCCCACACCTGATTTGCTGACTGGAAACACTGGTGGTGCCAAGAAACTTGGAAACCTAGTACTTGCTTAATAGAGTTCAATTACGTCACACCAGGAGGGGTTCACAACAGGAGGGGCATAACACCCTAAACACCTGTTACTAATCATGTTAGTTGTGCACAGGGCAATTTTCAAAGCAGAACGTGAAGTAGTATTAACCCTTTCGCTACCAGGGGCATTTTTTTTGCACACATGCTTAAAAAATCATTTTAGGCCTGAAGATTACACACAAAACCCCCAAACATGATATATTTTCTGAAAGAAGACACCCAAGAAAATAAAAGTGGTAGTTCCAATTTTTTATGTCACACACAATATTTCCTCAAAGGTCTAGGAAACCCCAAAATTTCAGGTAAAACAGTCCCAAATCAAGTCACTGTTGAAAGCTTGTAGACTTCACTTCCGTAACATCTCTAAAATGTGCCCCTTTTTAATCTCTTGCCTACAGGGCACTTTTTCCCCCTTCCTGCCCAGGCCAATTTTCAGCTTTCAGCGCTGTCACACTTTGAATGACAATTGCGCGGTCATGCAGCACTGTACCCATATACATTTTTTATAATTTTTTTTGAGACAGTTAGAGCTTTCTTTTGGTGGTATTTAGTCACCTGCTAAACAAACCAAAAACAACTGAAAATTTTGAAAAAAAAAAAGTTTTTTCTTAGTTTCTGTTATAAAATTTTGTAAATGATTTTTCTCCTTCACTGATGTGCACTAATGAGGCTGCAGTGATGGGCACTGATAGGCTGCACTGATGGGCACTGATGAGGAGGCACTGGTAGGTGGCACTGATGGGCATTGACAGGCATCACTGAAAGGCAGCATTAACAGGCATCACTGAAAGGCAGCACTCATATATGGCACTGATAGTTGGCACTGACTAGCACTGTTAGGCGGCACTGAGGAGTGGCACTGACTGGCACTGATAGGTGGCATTGATGTGGCACTGATGGGCACTGGCAGGTGGCATTGACGGACTCTGACAGGTGGCACTGCTGGAGCTACACTGATCATCGGTGCCCTGATGATCAGTGTAGATTTTCTCTCTGAGGAATGCCGATTACCGGCTCTCCTCTCCTCATGAGCTGTCAGCATGACAGCTCTTGAGGATAGAAATGCCGATAAGCGGCATTTCCTTATTTACATGCGACCAGCTGTGATTGGACACAGCTGATCACAAGACAGAGCCGACATCTTCAGCTCTTTCCGTTGATCGGTGATCCGCTGTCTCTGAGGGAGCCACGCACGTGCGGTTAGCATGGGAGGATGTCATATGAGGTCCTCCCAGAACTAGAGAACCGCCTTGCGCCCGTCATTTCCTTATATGGCAGGCGGGAGACGGTTAACTAATGAAACCAGCAAAATACTCACTCATTCACTCCCTTGTTATCTCTTGCCTTAACTATTGCAATTCCTTTCTCATAGGCCTACCTCTCTGTAGGCTATCCCCTCTTCAGTCCATTATGAATACAGCTGCCAGACTCATCCACCTTACCAACTGCTCAATGTCTGTCACCCCTCTCTGCCCATCCTTCCACTGGCTTTCAATTGCCCAGCAAATTAAATTCAAAATGCTTGCAACATACAAATCTATTCACAACTCTGCCCCGAGCTACTGTACATCACCAATCTTGTCTCCAAATATTGCCCAAACTGTCCTCTCCGCTCCTCTCATGATCTCCTGCTCTGAAGTTCTCGTCTCCTCTTCCCATGCACATCTCCAAGACTTCACCAATGCCTCTTCCATCCTCTGTAAAAAAAATTTTTTGGGGGGGATGTGCTTGAATGTAACTTGTGTTAGACTTAAGTGTACATTTTTTTCACTGCAAAAAAACATTTTTTACTTTTTTTTTTTATCACATAGGGTACCCAAAGTCCCCTATGTGATGATTTTTAGGTGACAGGTTCTCTTTAATGATACATGCAGGGTCTAAAAGACCCTGCATGTCTTCTCTGGGCTCCACTGGATGTATTGCAATGCAGATCGTAATGCAATACATCTCTTTACAGCTAGAATAGTGACAGCCATGACCTGGAAGTGACGTCATGCTCTGTACTTCTTCCTTGGGTCTCTGGTCTTTTCAGGAAAGAGATAATAGTGGACAGTGCAGTCTCCAGTCAGTGTTAGCCTGGAGAAGGAAGTGCAAGCAGGAAGGGGGAGCATCCTAAGCTACTTTGCTGTATGTTTCTATTGATGCACACAGTGTCGAGAGACACAACTTTAGCTCCTGCATGCAAAAGTGACTCCATAGTATGTTTTAAGAGAAAGAAACTACCCTGAAACAGAAAACCTGGGACAGTGATCACAGCACCAGCTTAAACTGGAACATAGGATAGTATTAAAAGATAAAGTTACATACTCCGTTAATGGTTAAATCAGCTTCTGAAATTGCTTGCCTGCTTAAGCACGAAAAAACTTTATATGTGTAGCGCATTTGGGTTCCCTGTTCATTCTGAACCTAGTTTGGAAGCATTGCCCCTGCTGATACCACCATACAAACATTGATCAGGAGAACCCCCTGGCTTTGAAACACAAAATAATCACACAGTTTAAGGTGAACCAATACTCTGATTATATTGAGGTGAAGGTATAAATAGTGCAAGCACAAAAGGAATAACAGTAAGTGTGTAAAACATTAGCCACTCTGTTTGAAATCTTAGCCAAATAATTAAGCACAGTTCCACCTCAAACACAAATGTCCTGCAGAACCAGAATTTAAATGTTATTAACACACTGAGATATATTTTCCAAAATGAGCTGAAATAGGCTATCAAACATTTGGGCTAACATACTTTGGGTTCTCAATGACTCTTAGGATGGATATGCAAATAATAATGTCCCCTTTAGTATCACCCCATAATATAAAAACAACTCTTCTGTGTGCTTGATGGGGTCCTAGTTGGTGCACATCTTGGATGAGGTCCCTTTTTATGTAACCGCAAAATTTCCTGAATAAGAAAAGGCACAGTAGTAGGAAAACTCCCCCTTGACTGATGGTAGCAGAATTAGAGAGGGTCTCTTTGTGGATGCAGGCAAAGGCAAGGACTGATAAGCACTATATTGCCAAAAGTATTGGGTCGCCTGCCTTTACACACACATGAACTTTAATTGCATCCCAGTCTTAATCTGTGGGATTCAATATTGAGTTGTCCCACCCTTTGCCGCTATAACAGCTTCAACTCTTCTGTGAAGGCTGTCCACAAGGTTTTGGAGTGTGTCTATGGGAATATTTGACCATTTTTTCAGAAGCACATTTGTGAGGTCAGATACTGATGTTGGACGAGAAAGTCTGGGAGAAAGTCTGGCTCAAAGTCTCTGCTCTGATTCATCCTAAAGGTGTTCTATCGGGTTGAGGTCAGGACACTGTACAGGCCAGTCAAATTCCTCCAGCCCAAACTCACTCATCCATGTCTTTATGGACCTTGCTTTGTGCACTGGTGCGCAGTCATGTTGGAACAGGAAGGGGCTATCCCCCAAAAAAGTTGGGAGCATGAAATTGTCCAAAATGTCTTGGTCTGCTGATACCTTAAGAGTTCCCTTCACTGGAACTAAGAAGCCAAGTCCAACCTCTGAAAAAACAACTCCACACCAAACTTTACACTTGGCACAATACAGTCAGGCAAGTACCATTCTCCTGGCAACCCCAAAACCCAGACACATCCATTGGATTGCCAGACAGAGAAACAACACGTCTCCACTGCTCTAGAGTCCAGTGGTGGCGTGCTTTACACCACTGCATCCGATGCTTTGTATTGCACTTGGTGATGTAAGGCTTGGATGCAGCTGCTAGGCCATGGAAACCCATTCCATGAAGCTCTCTTTGCACTGTTTTTGTGCTAATCTAAAGGCCACAGAAAGTTTAGAGGTCTTTAGCTTTTGACTCTGCAGACAGTTGGCGACTTCTGTGCACTTCAGCATGTTCAGCTGACCCTGTTCTGTCATTTTACATGGTTTACCACTTGGTGGCTGTTGTTCCCAGTTGCTTCCAATTTGTTATAATAACACTAACAGTTGATCGTGGAATATTTAATAGCCAAGAAATGTCACGATGGACGTATTGCGCAGGTGTATCACGCTTGAACTCACTGAGCTCCTGAGAGCAACCCATTCTTTCACAAATGTTTGTAAAAGCAGTCTGCATGCCTAGGTGTTTGATTTTATACACCTGTGGCTATGGAGGTGATTGGAACACATGAATCCAATGATCTAGAGGGGTGTCCCAATATGTTTGGCAATACTGTATAGTGTAGTAGAGGATGGGGCGGGAGTAGACTGCAGTAGAATTTGTATTTCAATAGGTAGGGAATTGGCTTGATGGAGCAAGTTCCTTTATAGTATACTATATTGGAGATGAGATATTAACAGTGTCACTGTCCACAAAGACACGTGCTGCAGGAGGAGTCCTGTGTTCAGAGCAATGAGAGGGAAAACAATAAAGCTGTTGGCCGCAATACTTAATTGGGCTAAGAAGTCTGTGTTTCAAGTGGTAGACTGTGAATACAACAGATTCTCACCACTAGCATCACAAAACTCCAGAAACACCGATATATAACCCTTTTTTAGGATGGAATCAGTACCCCCAAGTGGAAAGGGGGGAAACAAAGGGAAAAGCAAAAAGAGGGGGTGCAGAGGAGGGAGAAGGCAACAACAAAAAAAGAAGGAGAGATTAAAAGGGGAGGGGATTTTTAATATTAGTGGTATCCTTCTCAAAAAAGAAGAGATTCATGCGATAGATAAAGGATTAAAAATTTGCACCAACTAGAGGTTTGAATAAGTTTGAAACTTATGTGAATTTACAAAAATTAATTAGGAATTTAAATCTGAAAAAATATTATGCACAGTATCCGACCAATAGTATTGATTGTAATGAACCCTCATACAGATATCACACTACTCTAAAGAATAAATCAGTTTTTAATCCGACTAATATTGATGGTAAATATATTAATGTTTTTAAAAAATCTAGTCAGTAACGATTTAGAAAATCTGAGGATCAAAAAATATAAAAGAAGATATGTATTTACAGAAGGGCATAAAAAGTCTAAGGAAAAGGTCAAATTTAGTGATTAGACCAGCGGATAAGGGGGGAGGCATAGTGGTTATGTAAAAGGAACAATATGAAGCCACTATGGAAGAAATGATGGATGATACCAACACTTATCAAAAATTGATTAGAAATCCCACTAAAGAATGTAAAAAAGAATTGATTAAATTAGTAAAATATGGAACTAAAAAAGGTGTACTGAATAGTAAAGAAGAGAAATATTTAATACCTACTGTTTGCAAATTACCAATCATATATTCAGTGCCTAAAATACACAAAGACAGCACTAAACCACCAGGTCGACCAATTATAAACGGTATAGACTCAATGACATCAAGATTAGGAGAGTACATTGACAGCTTCTTGCAACCGCCAGTAGAGAATACACCAGCATATTTGAAAAACACGAAGCATGTTATACAGTTGACACAAAAGGTACAGGTACACAACAATACTATTATGAGCACAGCTGACATCTCCTCATTATACACGAATATTGATCATGAAGGAGCAATAGAGGCAGTAAAGTGGGCTCTAAATAAATACTCGAGTATTCCCTACAAACATAAAAAATTCATCATCAAAAGTTTAAAATTTTGTCTATTACATAATTATTTTTGGTACAACAAAGAGTACTATTTACAAATTAGGGCAGTAGCGATGGGCGCTAAATTTGCCCCGAGTGTGGCGAACCTGTACATGTCAAAATGGGAGGAGGAGGTAATTTATCATCATCCCAGGGAGGAAATTAAACTGTATAACAGATTTATTGATGATATTATCATAATATGGGATGGCAGTAAGGAAAATCTGGAACTATTCTATAAAGATCTTAATAATTACAGAGATAATATTAATTTGAGCTGGATTATTAATGAGGATGAAATTAGCTTTTTAGATATTTTGATTAAGAAGGAAGGACATTTATTGTATACTAAAAATTATTTTAAAAATACTGATCGGAATGCATATATTCCAACTACGAGCTGTCATTATCAACCGTGGATAAATAATATCCCGAAGGGTCAATTTATAAGGTTGAAAAGAAATTGTAGTAGAAAAGATGATTATAAGGCACAAAGTCAAGTTTTAGAAGACAGATATGATCCAGTAAAAATAGAGAAAGAGAGAAATGAAGTGGGACAGATGAATAGAGATACCTTATTGATGGATAAACCAAAGGAAGATAAAGGAGAATACGATATACCTATAGTGTTGGATTATCACAAACAGTATAAAGCAATACAGAGAATTATTTCCAAACATTGGGGAATATTAAAACTAGACAAACACCTTAAAAATATTATCCCCCATAAACCAAAATTCATATATAAAAAAGCACCTAATTTAAGAGACACATTGGTGAAAAACGTATTGGAACCATTGAAAATCAATAATAATTTCACCTTTTTTCAAGGTGAATGGTTCTATGCATGTGGTAGGTGCTATGGGTGCAAGAGAGTTGTAAATAACCCCAGACGTAGATTTGTATTTTCTAATACATACAATGATAAGGAATACAAAATTAAACAGTTTATTTCCTGTGAAACGGAGGGAGTAGTGTATGCGTTAAAGTGCCCATGTAACTTAATAGAATAAGTATAAAATCAGCACACACATATATATATATATAAAATCCTTAAAAATCCCTTAAAGTCATATCAATATCCTTCCCCTGAAGCACTAATAAAATATATATTCATTGACTTAAACCCAAAAACCCACAATTATAGTGAAAATATCAAAACCCAAAGAGATTACCCAAAAAATAAAAAATATCAAATATATATAAAAAGAACAAAAATAAATAAAGTCCCAATATGCAAAGTGTCCAAATAATGTGTCCAAACAAAGATCAATTTCTTGATAGGAAGACGCTTCCTACTCCACTGAAGAAGATGCAAATCAATCACAGGTGCTCTTCAAATACCTCAAAAAACAAAATCTCAACATAGTATATTACCTTTTAAATCCCAGAACTAAAGTGCCACACGTGTGTCATGCAAAAAAAACACACTCCAGTGTCACAGCACTCATGTGAGAGAAAAAAAAAAAAAAAATTAAATTTTATAAATATCACTGCAAACTATATATAAAGTGCATAATTACCCTAAAACAAACAAATTCCAGCTTGTAATCAACCACATATATGTACAGAGTGTCCTTAGATTGGTATCCTCTTGTTCCTCAGGACCTCACAAACAGACCAGGAATCAGTATGTGAATTATAATCATATATAAAATTTATTGTAGCCACTTACATATAAAAACGATAAGATCAGCAAGACAGCATCCAACTCCTCATGCCCAGTATGCGATCCCCTTTCCGTGTGTAGAGGGTCTCCCGATCACCAGGTAATTCCCCCTTGCTACTCCTATCCAGCACTATCACTTTTTAGCTCTGGGCGACACCTGAAGTGCACCGTTCCTCTCTAGACCTCCAACACACCGGGATTCCAGAATCCAAAATGGCTGCCGCAGCACTTCCGGGAATGTCACGTGCCCTGGACGCGTTTCGTCTCTTCCGGACTTTGTCAACAAGGAATCCTTGTTGACAAAGTCCGCAAGAGACGAAACGCGTCCAGGGCACGTGACATTCCCAGAAGTGCTGCGGCAGCCATTTTGGATTCTGGAATCCCTGTGTGTTGGAGGTCTGGAGAGGAACGGTGCACTTCAGGTGTCCCCCAGAGCTACAAAGTGATAGTGCTGGATAGGAGTAGCAAGGGGGAATTACCTGGTGATCGGGAGACCCTCTACACACGGAAAGGGGATCGCATACTGGGCATGAGGAGTTGGATGCTGTCTTGCTGATCTTATCGTTTTTATATGTAAGTGGCTACAATAAATTTTATATATGATTATAATTCACATACTGATTCCTGGTCTGTTTGTGAGGTCCTGAGGAACAAGAGGATACCAATCTAAGGACACTCTGTACATATGTGGTTGATTACAAGCTGGAATTTGTTTGTTTTAGGGTAATTATGCACTTTATATATAGTTTGCAGTGATATTTATAAAATTTAATTTTTTTTTTTTTTTTTCTCTCACATGAGTGCTGTGACACTGGAGTGTTTTTTTTGCATGATACACGTGTGGCACTTTAGTTCTGGGATTTAAAAGGTAATATACTATGTTGAGATTTTGTTTTTTTTGAGGTATTTGAAGAGCACCTGTGATTGATTTGCATCTTCTTCAGTGGAGTAGGAAGCGTCTTCCTATCAAGAAATTGATCTTTGTTTGGACACATTATTTGGACACTTTGCATATTGGGACTTTATTTATTTTTGTTCTTTTATATATATTTGATATTTTTTATTTTTTGGGTAATCTCTTTGGGTTTTGATATTTTCACATGTAACTTAATATACATTGGCAGAACAAAAAGAGCATTAAAAGAACGCATCAAGGAGCATGTATATAACATCAATAGAGGATACAGATACCATCATGTTTCATATCACTTTCGACAATGTCATAATCAAGATGCATCCAAATTACAATTCTGGGGAATAGAAAAACACAATAGACATTGGAGAGGAGATAATCTGGTAAGGGAGATAAGTAAAAAAGAATCAAAATGGATTTATGAAATGAGATGTTTAGCCCCGCATGGTTTAAATAAAGAATTTGACCTAACTTGCTTTATTAGTAATTTTTAAATATTTTTTAATAATTTTTATTGGGGATTTGCAATATATATATAGTTATACAGAGATGGATTGAGAGTATTAAATTAGAGAATATTAGTAATTATGGGATATAGATAGTACATATTGGGATGTAAGTAATAACAGTAGAAGTGCTAATTATTCTTATCATGTTTTAAAAAAATTAAAAATCATGGTAAAAAATTTAATATCATGACATGAATATGGAGTAATAGGTTTCTATTAGGTAATTGAATGATGTGATATCTGTAATGAGAATAAATTAATAGAAACAGAAATAAATATTGGATAAAGAGTGGGGTATATAGTGGTTCTAAATATAATTGTGTGTCATATATGTGAATTAGGATGATGTATTTTAATGATTTTTTATTTATATATATACATATTAATTCATGGGTATATATATATGTATATATTTTATTTTAATCACAATCAATTATATTTTAATAATTATTTTTTAATAAAATAATTGGTATAGATAGATTTTAATAAAATTTATGTATGTAATTAAAATATTTTTAATATTAATTGTAAAGCTGTATATGTGCTATGATCCTATAGGCTTGTAAATAGTGACAATGCAGTCAGAAAAGGCATTAGATATGTAATTAAGTAGATTGAAAAGCACTAATGAAATGTTTAATACATGTTAGAAGTAGATTAGTACACATAGACCCCAGAAAAATGGCCGCGTCCATGCGGTCTATAAGAAAATGGCGCAGACTGCCTATATATATGGAGCAGGGCGCAGTGACGTCCAATTGTTTTCCCCCTGATGAAGCCACGTGACCCTGTGGCGTAACGCGTAGGGGAGGGGCTCTGACGTCACGACACCGCGGTGGACGAGCGGTACTTACGAGTATAGGATCTGGGCACATATCTGCTGCATACAGCTCTGCATAAAATGTGAGTGGCGATTTTTACTCATAAATAAAAGGCTAAGCCTCACAAAGGATAAGGCACTATCTTGGCTCTTTCTACATGGTGTAGTGGGAGGAGGAAATACCATCCTAAACCATCTCTAAACCACCCATTGAGGCTAAAGTGTGGAAGGAGGGAGACCTCTGGTGGCAGAAAATAAGGCAATACGGATGGAAACACGCATATAGTATGAAGATTCCCACCCTGTCCTAATAGGACAAAAAGTGTTTTTAGCCACTTTGTCTGGCTAATTAACTAGTTGCTGACCGCAGATAGCCGAATGACGGCTTCACTGCGGCCAGCCAGTTCTGGGTGGACGTCATATGACGTCCCCCCAGAACGCGCTCTCCTGCGCGCCCCAGGGGGCGCGCACCCGGCGATCTCCGTGATCGCTGTGTCCTACGGACACAGCTGATCACGAGATGTGGTAAAAGGGCCAATCATACCGGCCTTTTACCACGTGATCAGCGGTGTCCAATGACACGCTGATCACAGGGAAATGCAAGTGCCGATTCTCGGCTGCACTTTCCTCACGCTGTCAGATCATGAGGAAAGTACTGCCGAGAACCGGCAGTTGTCAGAGCGAGGATCGGCACCGATCATCAGGGCACTGATGATCAGTGCCCTGATGATCGGTGGCCAGCAGTGCCACCCGCAAGTTCCGCCCACCTGTGCCCAGCAGTGCGCCCACTAGCTCCGCCCACCTGTGCCCAGCAGTGCACCCACCTGTGCCCAGCAGTGCACCCACCTGTGCCCAGCAGTGTACCCACCTGTGCCACTCTGCAGTGTCACACACCTGTGCCCAGAAGTGCCACCTACCTGTGCCCAGCAGTGCCACCCACCTGTGCCCACCCACCTGTGCCCACCAATGCCACCCACCTGTGCCCACCAATGCCACCCACCTGTGCCCACCCACCAGTGCTGCCCACCAGTGCCACCCACCAGTGCATCCCAGCAGTGCTGCCAGTCAGTGCCACCAGTCAGTGCCCAGCGGTTGTGCCAGTCAGTGCCGCCAGTCAGTGCCCAGCAGTGATGCCAGTCAGTGCCATCTATCAGTACCCATCATCAGTGTCACCTATCAGTGCCACCTATCAGTGCTGCATATTAGTGCCGCCTATCCGTGACACCTCATTAGTGCTGCCTATCAGTGCCCATCAGTGCCGCCTATCAGTGCCCATCAGTGCTGCCTCATCAACGCACATCAGTGAAGGAGAAAAATTACCTGTTTGAAAAATTTTATAATAGAAACAAAGAAACTTTTTTTTTTTTTTCAAATTTTTTGCACCTATTTAAATTTATAGCGCACAAAGTAAATCGCCCAGTTGTCGACTAAATACCACCAAAAGAAAAGCTCTATTTGTGAGAAAAAAATGATCAAAATTTCATATGGGTACAATGTTGCATGACCGCGCAAATTGTCAATCAAAGTGCGGCAGCGCTGAAAGCTGAAAATTGGCCTGGTAAGGAAGGGGTTATAAGTGCCTGTTAGGCAAGTGGTTAAGGAGGTGAGCGCACACCTATCTATAGAGCACGGGGAGTGTGGCACTATACACCTTATTTGTCACTGAAAAAGTATTAAAGCACAAAGAGGACTATATATGTAGTTTTTTGAGTACTGTATTGGTATTATTTTGAAATGCACTATATGTTGCACTGGTTTGAAGCACATTCATTTTGTTCATGTTATCATTTTTATGATCACTTGTATATGAGTTTTAAAATGATTATGGAGCGCGGCACATATATGTATCTGTAGATATTGTGGCAGTGCGGTGTCCTGCCACGGCCAAAATAAAGCTGAGAACCTTGGATTCTCAACCAGGCAGGTTGAGGGGCTCCAGAGAGTTGATTTATTGCAGAGGAAACTGGCTTTTCAGTTTCCTCATTTGTTCATTAAGTTTGTTTTGGGATCTGGAGCCTGGAGATTTCAAAGAGATCTGGGAGGGATGAAATCTCCAATCCGGGGTCCGGGTTTTGAGAACCCCCAGCACAGTGATTGCACAGGTGTGTGCAGGCCTTTTTATAGAGTCCTGACCATAGTTCTGGGCTCCACCCCGGCAGATTTTTTTGGGAAGAGTCTGCAGGAGGCAGACTTAAAACTGCTTGCAAGCCAGGAGGCTGAATACTATTAATTTGCTTGATGATGGATACCCCTGCGTGGGAAGCATTCTTGTTTATTTGAACTTTCTTGTAAATAAAATTGGGCAAAAAGGCCCTTAAACAGATGCGAGTTGCTGTGTTTTGAAGAAGAGCTCTACCACTTGAAGCGAGTTCCCACAATATATATAATTTTGTATATAGACTGTGATGCTATCGCGTACCTGGTGATGGAGGCCAATGGAGAGAGGGCTCCTCTTGTGGCTACGTTCTGGACTCCCCTGAGAGTGGGACCGCAGGAGTCAGGCCCAAAGTTGCACAGGTCGCCTGTAGGAGTGCTGGTTGGTGGTCCACTCAGAAGTACAGCTGGTGCATGGAGATAGGTCTGCAGACAGGAGGCGTTTGTGCGTGGTATGCATCCCCTTCCAGGACTTAGATGTTTACTGGGTAGTCGGTTCAAGCCAAGGTCAGGTACCAGGTGGGAATCAGAGCAGACGTAGTCAGATGGGTCATACACAGATGAGAGAGAGAGAGTATATTCGTAAGCCAAGCCGAGGTCAGATCAGGGGTAAAGCAGAGTAGACAGGTCCAGTAGCAAACCGAGTCGGTAACAGGAAATCACAGGTCAGAATCACAGGAACAGGGCACGGGGAGCTAGAGATCATCCAGCAACTTGAGGAAGCGATGGGCCTCCTTAAAAGGCTGTCTGGCACCAGACTGAGGCTCATATGTACTTCTGTAGCCATGCAGAGTACTGGCAGAAATGCCAGATCTTCCAGAACTTCTGCTGTGGACAGGACCCTGACAGTGCCCCCCCCCCCCCTAAAGGGCAGCCTCCGGATGCCGACCTGGGCCATCTTTTCAGGATACTTAGAATTAAATTCTTGGAGAAGCCTGGGGGCATGTACATTCCCTTTTGGTTCCCAGGTACTGGATTTGTCTTCCCCGCCTTCTGCAGTCCAGAAGATTGCTTCAACCTTGTATTCTGTCTCCTCCCCAACTGTTATCTGCGTAGGAGGTGGTTCTACTCTCCCTGGAAAAGGATCAGGAACAGCTGGCTTGAGTAGGGAGACGTGGATCTTGTATGATTCCGGAAGGAACAGCTCAAACGTCACTGGATTGATTTCCCTCTTGATCCGGAAAGGGCCAATGTACCTTAGACCCAACTTACGTGACATTCATGGGAGTTTTAGATTGGCAGTTGATAGCCAAACTTTGTCTCCAATCTTCAGAGGAAGGTTTCCGCTCCGTTTCCTGTCGTAGTGTTTCTTATAATCAGCCTGGTATTTCAGTATAGACTCTCGGAGGACTTTACAGTTGTTCTGTAGCATGGAGAGTCTGTCCTGTACTGTGGGTACCGAAACTTTAGGAATGGTGTCAGGTATGGAGGAAGGGTGGAATCCATAATTGGGGGGATGAATTACCAAAATGGCGACTGGTTTGTAGCAGAATGGACTGAATTGTTGTAGGCAAATTCTGCCAGTGGAAGTAGGGATGCCCAATCATCCTGAGAAAAAGCAGAGAAGCACTGTAAATATTTCTCCAAAGTCTGGTTCGTTCGCTCCATTTGCCCGTTACTCTGGGGATGGTAGGCGGATGATAAGCAGAGTTCCGCCTTCAGGGCTTTGCAGAGGGCTCTCCAGAACCTGGTCACAAACTGCACCCCACGGTCTGAGACGATATTACTAGGCAGACCAAGTAACCTGACAATCTCTTTGATGAAGGTTAGTGCAGTCTCTGGTGCGGATGGAGTACCCACCATTGGTAAAAAGTGGGCCATCTTGGATAGCCGATCCACTACTACCAGAATGGTAGTAAACCCCTCCGAGGGCGGAAAATCCACAATGAAGTCCATTGCTACCATCTCCCAGGGACGATCAGGAATGGGCAGGGGCCTCAGCAACCCCCAGGCCATGGCTTTGTCTCCCTCGTTCCGCAGACACACTGTGCACGACTTCACATAAGCACTACAGTCATGATTCAAGTTGGGCCACCAGAAGGATCGCTGGATTAGTTCCATTGTCTTACGGGCTCCAAAGTGTCCAGCCAGTTGATTGTCCTAGAAAGCCCTGAAAACTTGAGACCTCACTTCTTGGGGCACAAAGATTTTATCCTTGTGCCACAGAAGACCATCCTGCCTTCTAAGCAAATTTTTTCGGGTTCAGGACATAGTGCAGAGGCTTGCTTGATCAAAGACTTTAGGCTGAGTTAGATCAGCAAAACATTTTGGGCTGACAAACTGGTGTTGGGGGGAGAGGGCTCCTCTGGGTCCAGGAACATGTGGGAAAGGGCATCTGCCTTCCCGTTCTTGGATCCTGGGCAGTAGGTTATGTGGAAGTTAAACCTGGAGAAATATAAAGCCCATCTAGCCTGTCGAGGTCTTAGGAACTTGGCGGACCTTAGATACTCCAGATTTTTATGATCTGTGAAAATTATAATTGGGTGGCTGGCTCCTTCCAAGAGATACTCCATTCTTTCAAATGCTATCTTAGACGCTAAAAGGTCCCTATCTCCCACATCGTAGTTCCTCTGAACCTAGTGTCATTGGCTCTCAGTTGTGTTGGGTTGGCACTCAACATCCTCGATTTTCAGAATCTGCAGAACCATATATGTCTCTCCATTGGCTGCAGTGTTTATTTCCAATCCACATGTACAGAAATATTTGTAAGTTAATGATACATAAATTTATTAATTCAAACTTTATTTAAAAAAGATTTTCATAAATGGAAAAATACATACACACACTATTACCTAAGTATTTGTAATCCACGCACCCCTGTTGTGCCATATGGCTTCACAATACAACGTGGGAACCCTTGTCAGTAGCACTGTCCTGTGGGCAACTAATGAAGAACACCACACTGGCGATGCTTACCCGAACTCTACCAATGTTGTAAATATGGGATATTTTAAAGCTAAGTTTATAAAAAAAAAATGTTCCTAGCTTAAATCACATCACTTACCTATGATGAAGTACAGTATGTTCCACATTGTGGAGGCAGCAGGATCCTGGAGAACTCTTCACTGGAGAGAAGCTCCGACCACTTACTCTCTATGGACTTCTGGCACTGCAATGGGTGGCAGCTTCAAGTCTTCAGGCAGAAGAGCCATACAGAGGATCTGACATGCCCCCTTCTCTCTCCTCCTCCATTTAGAAAAGTTATTTAATTGATTACACTGCTTGTAGATTATATTCTTTCCCACTCTCTATAATTAAGTACCTGATGGAGTGAAATGCATAAGGGGAGCAGGTATTTTTTTTCCTGTATCTGACAACATCAATAAATGGCTTTTAGAAGTTGAGCAGCTCCACTTCTGCTTTTCGTGCTACAGTTGTTAGTGCATTGCAGATCAGCTGAAGCCAGCACCCTTTGGTTGTTGGAGTGGTGATGGGATCCCTGTATGATGCTACATACAGTTTATACCCAACTCCTGGTGGGCGCATGTATTACTGAAGATAACAGTTTGTTTGGACCAGCT